GAGAGGACATCCAGTACACAGTAATCTCGTGCGTGGGAAATTAACGTCTTTTACCCCTTACCCTGTAAGAGACGGGCCCTCCGGCTTTACGTCCTATCCGAGAAGACGAAACAATGTAAGTGAAGTGTCTTGCTTAAGGACTAGTAGTTTTGGAATACAAATTAAAACCTTTCTATCATTTTTGAAAGAGGTAACAGAAGAAACGAATTTGCAGTCTTTAGATGGCCTCGTCGCCGCAGTCGATGCCTCTTGTTGGCTTCACAGGGCAATTTCTTTGAATTATCAGCAACATGGGGACGATCGACGGTCAGGACATGGCTTACGTACGCGAGTTTCTGTGACACTTTCTTTCAGATTTCCCCGTCTCATTAATTATTTTTATTTTTATCTAGAGTTCAGGATATTTGCTCATCATATTCCGAGTTAATGGACCGGAATAATATTACTCCGTTGATAGTTTTCGACGGCCTTTTATTACCGGGAAAGAAAGAAGGGCACGAGAAAAGAGCAAGGTACAAATTATTTTAACCTGAAGCATAATTATCACCTAGACTATGTATATGATTCTGTTTTAACCGATTGTTATAGATATTGCACAGGTTTATGCCTAAGTAGTAGTGCTATAACTACAACCCCTTACTACTTTTGTTGTAACGATTGTCTTGTTTTGAATTCAGACTTTGGGCAGGAAATAAAGATAAAGCTGAAATACTGTACCGAATTGGGATGGTCGCGGAGGGAAATAAACTTCTGGCCGCAGCCTCAGGAGTTGAACACAGTATGGTCCTTGGTTTTATTGAAGTGAGTTTATTTATGAATTTTGTTCATTTGTTTCCTGGAACTTGCAAAAACGAAGGCTAATGTTATGTTATCTGGTTTATTTTCTTAGATTTGCCGCAAAAAATCTATCGACTATGTGGTTGCTCCCTACGAAGCAGATGCTGAATTAGCTTTTCTTTTGACACAAGGCCATGCAGACTTTGTAATTTCTGAGGATTCAGACCTTCTTGCCTATGGATGTAAGAAGGTGAGCTTACAAGTAGTGTATGTTAAACTTCATAGATCACCCTCACTTCCATTGTTTTTGTTCCTTATTTTGATCTTCGCATGTATTATTTTACCTACTTCATTTCTTCTGTAATAAAGCAATCTAAGCATGCATTCTTTCACATCCATGCAAATAAGCATACACAATAGATTAGGGTACAAGTTAACCTTGACATGTTATGATCATTAATACATAATAGTTAATTTTAGCTATCTTAATATCTTTGTGTCAGTGACTGCTAAAAGACTCCCCTCCGTCCCCTATTTGTATCGAAATAAACAGAGAAAAACTTTGTTGTTCTGCCTCATGATGGCACATTGTAATATAAGTTAGTACTTTATCATGAGATATGTTAAATTTTTTAGCATGTTCCAATAGGTGTTGTTCAAGTTAAAACTTAGTGGTCAGTGTCAACTGATAGAGTTGGATAAGGCTTTGCAACACCTACAACTCAGCCAGAAAAATTTCCTCAACATGTGCATTGTGGCTGGATATGACTACCTGGACAGTTTTAGGGGAATTGGAATCAACAAATCCAGAAAGTTAATTTCCAATGAAAGCAACTTCCTCTCAGTTTTACAGGGAATGTCACATGCTCCCAAAGAGTATAGTTCAGAGTTTTTGAAAGCAAAGGCAATATTTTTGCACCAGATGGTGATCAACCCTTTAAATGGTACAACAGTACCATTAATGAGGTGGGAGGACACTCCAAATTTTCAAAAAACCAAAGAATACCACATCACTTGTGGAAAGTATCCTTTTTGAATCATAATATAGTCAATGTCAGTTTTGTATCAGGTGCAATTTATTCTTCTCTCTTGCAGTTGGTCAGTCAGACAATTTAAATATCTTTCTTAATTAAGCTTGTCTCTAAACAACAGAACAATGAAATGGTTAACGCAACACTATTTGCTGATCATGTGATAAATGGGGCAAAAACTATTCATTAGCATGGTAGTTCCAACTTTCTCCCTAGTTATACAGTCAAACCAAGTGAGGCATACAACTCAAGATTGAATTAATGAACTGATCATTCAATTATTGAACCATGCTAGTTGTTTCAAGAATACAATAATGAGCAGATTAATTGAATATTGAATTTGCTAGTCATTTCAAAAATCAATTTTAATTTGATTTTTTTTAACATTTAACCCATTAGCTGGATTCTTGGAACAACTTGTGCATCCAATTTTGCAATAATCTATTCATCATTGCATTCTTGAAATGACTATCAGGTTCAATATTCAAATAATTAATATTCATTAATGTAATCTTGAGGGGTAGCTTCACTTGGTTTGACTATAATAACAATGATAGCAGTAGCAGTAACAATAATGATAATAATAGTAATAATAAATATATATATATAACAACAACAATAAAAACAAAGGATAGATAAATGTAATCGTCGTGGTATGGCTTACTTCCATTAACTGCACAACAGCATTCTTTCTAGGGAATATGCCATTAACCTTGCTCTTGGCAATGTGAATCCTTTGGATAGCAAAACAGTCAACTCCACTTTCCAGCTACCTAGCAAGGTAATAACTGCAATGTATTCATGTACATATCTAGCTTAAGGACCATTAATTCTTGCTTTTCATTACACCATTTTTTTTTATGTGGTAAGAATCACAAACTTTCCTTTTAATGTAGTTTGGGAAATTACTTGTAAAAATTCATACTTTGGTAATAGAACAAACAATTCTTGGCATCCTTATTGTCAAACTTATACTCTTTTAGTGTTAAGAAAAATAAAGGCATGTTATTGTGACCATTTCACAATATTTTTTTTCTGTCACATGTAAACAATACTTTTTTCTTGTTGCCTCTCGCAGGAGGGATTGTAGCAGGAAAAAGATATGACCATGTCAGTCATCTCTTAAAGGTAAAACTGACTGGACTATTCCTTACTGCACAGTGAACAAGTACATTGTAAGTTAGCAGCTACGTGGTGGAGGCAACTGTTCAGGGGCCCTTACAGTTAGAAAATGCCTCTGTGGCAGTGAAGCTCTGTTTGCTACAAAAACCCCTGGATCAGAACGTCTTGATAGTCTGATCCTGTCCAGTCTTTCTGTAGTGCCTGATGGTTCATTAAATGATGGCAGTGGATCATCAGAGTACCACTGTCTGTGTCCAGTCCAGTAGTAAAAAGGCAGCTCTGGATCAATTTTTTTTCACTAAATTCATTGACAGTTTTGGGTTGCTGTGAGAGAAATGCCTTGTGGTCAAAGACATCCCCAAGCTGGTCATGTAGAAGGACATTGAACCCTTCCACATCATCAGTGCTGCTTGCGTGTGGGTGTTCTGGGGAGAGTCCTCAATCTCGGTACTCCTCTATTCATAGCTCCAGACTTTCACAGTTCGCAACGAGAGCAACTACAATTTCCCTTGTAAAACCTTGTATTCCTTTAATGGGCCTTAGTATGTTAATAGTGGCATAGTCTCTTTCTTGTTGAAACCAGGGCATCCAGTCTTGAAGTAAAAAATTCAGCATGTCCTTGTTGTACTGTGATCGGGTTTGTTCAGAAAGGCCTCTTCCATCTGCGGCTTTGTGCCAGTTTTGAACAGTTTCAATGAATTTTGCCTCAGTAGCATGACCATTTCTTTGCATAAATTCTAGCACACCTCTCGAGAAGATCTCTTCACAATGTTGTACCAACTGTTTCTGCTTACCAGCCAATGCTTCACAGGCTAGACCAGTGAATGGATCATGCAGGGCATCTCTGAAGTAACACAGATTTACCCCATGAATCGATCCTGACTGAAGGCACTCTGTGATACGTTTGAACACATGATTATGATCCTCCCTTTCATGTAAGAATTCACCTGTCAGACTGCACAATTCAGGTTGGTAGAGATGTTTGCTGAAGTCAACACCACAATCTTGCTTCAGCTGCTTAATTTTGTGGCAGAACAAGTAAAGTGCCATCAAGGATTTAAGGCAGTCCTTTGTATCATCTTCCCTGCCTGTAAGTAAACAAAGTACATGTACAAAATCAGCCTAACTGTGAAATTTGTTTCCAAACCATCCCAATGAAACTAAATAGGTACATGGAGGGATAGTAATGATTGAAACTTTGCAAAACAAACATCAAAATATATGTTTTTCTGTGATAACACCAGAAATGGCAATTTCAAAATGTAGTAATATTTTGCATCTAAAGAACATTATTGATGTTTACAACAAACTACCTTTTAGGCACAGTGCTGTTCCTTACTTTTTTGGTCCAATTAATACAATATGCATGTAAGTAGGAGCTGTTAGTGGCCATTTGTTTTCTCATTAGTACCGATTTATTCTTTTCAAATTCCTTTTAGTTAATTATATCTGCGCTACTCATTAGTTTCTTGATCAAATATACAGTACAAAGTTACCTGAAAAGAACAAAACATTACTCATACCACTATTATATTGAGAAGGAAATGTCAATTGCCGAAAAAATTTACAACATATAATTATTGTTGTAAGATATATATTTTCCAAATGCTCACCTGGAACCCAAGGGCTTGGTTCATAATGAGAAAGAAAAGGCTTTCTTTTCAGAATGTGGATGGCAGAATTAAATGGAACATCATTCCCTTCAGTATTCATGTAGTCATACCAAAAAAAATGTCCTCCTGTGGAATTGCTGCACGTGGTAGCCTTGCTTGAACAGTTACAGGGTTGCTCTCATTGCCTGACAAGAAAAAAAGAGCAATGAAGACACTATTCAAAGTTCAAAAAAATATAAAACACTATCCAATACAGCCACTTGGAATGTCTCAAAATAATAATCAACAAGAAAAGTCAGTTGGACACAAACTCATTCCAATATACCCCTGCAAAAGACTTCTGTCCCGAGTAGCTCTTGAACATACCGCACGTATGTATGCCAACAACTAAAATTAATGCTCAGTTAATGCTCCCTTTCGCTGTTGGTAAATTTTGTTAAAATACCTTGAACTTTAACTGGTGTGAAATACTATCTTATGGTGTTCACATTAATGTGTCATGCCCTCTGCTTTTGAATCCATAATCAACTGAATAATGGAAATTGGTCTACTGGAGCCCGTGGTGCGGAGAGAATTGAATTCGCCATCTGTAACACAGCCTGTAAAACCAAAAGGTTTCTAGTAAGTACTTTGCTTGGATAAAACACAAAATTCTCAGAACTAAC